ATCGCGTGTTAGCAACAACCACCACTAAACTTATATGGTTCATGCACCTCTTAAGAAAACATTAGGTATTGTATTCTTTCCCCTACATTATATGGCGACAACATTAATGCCATATGTTCATCGCACTAAGCATAGTAAGGTCGTTTTTCTTTTTTTGGGAACAGGCAACTCATAGCCCTCTTTCCCTGAAACATATCTCAAGTCCTAACTAAATTGTTGATATTTTTCACAAAATCATTAAGTGTTCCCACGTTTGTGTTAGGATTACCTTAAACATATGAAAATAATAATTAAATTTTGATTTTTAGAGTCTCCATAATACTATAATACTATTACGTAAGCTATGAACATCTAGTGTTTGAGTAAAAATTATCTAAAAAATAATTTTTTTCAAAGGTTTAATCAATTTTTTTAAGACTAAGTTATCGTAAATTACAAGTCGTTCAAATATTGAGTTTCTAATAGTAATTCATACAAATCATCAATAAAAAAAAAAATTAAAATATTTTTTAAAAAGAAGAATCACTATGTTTTTTAGTGTTAACTCTCTTTTCAAGTTTTCAAGAGTTTTTCTATTGTATATTCTGTAACTTTGGTAGTTTTTCTCTATATTATAAAATTCTATTTGTAGATAAACTTAATGATCTTATTAAAAGCAAAATATCAATTTATCCCCTAAATAATATCTTATATATTTATAAATTTATTCAATAAAGTCTATAATTGAAATTTCTAGGTTTATAATTGTAATCTCATATAGTAATTAGTTTTTAGTCTTTAATCTCTAGAACTTATTTGCAATTAAGTTATACTTGATTAATTATCTTAATTTAATTTTTGACTAATAGTTTTTATATGTGTGACTAATTAGTTTATTAATAAGTTGGATCAAATATAAATCATGATCCTAAATTAAATAGAATTAAATAATTTAATTTATTATCAATTCAAAAATTGATTGATTTATATTTGAAGATAAAGTACATTGTTTATCAACGTGTAATAATCTTCTACATATTAGAAAAATCATAAGTGGTTAGACTTGACCTTTTGTTGAGTATTTTCTCAGTGTGGTTCTACATATTAGAAAAATCATAAGTGGTTAAACTTGACCTTTTGTTGAGTATTTTCTTAGTGTGGTTTATTATTTCTTCATTAATAATATTTTGATTTAAACATTATAGTATGAAGTGTGTCTACTCTATAAAATCATGTTTATTCTCAACACTATAGTTATTGGTTATTTGAAAAAGATTTAAAACTCTTTTCAAATATCAGCTCACCATATGCAAGAGTTTCATAATAAATACTACTCGAAAATGTACAACATTGAGTTTTTTCTAATTCACCTAAAGAGATAAATCTTATTTTGATCACTTAAATATTTTTATATAGTCTATGTTATACCCAACATATGCTCTCTCTTTTTTTATCATTAACTAGGACAATATGTAGTCAAGATCAAAATATAACATCTTCCATATAAAAAAACTTAGTAATTTCAAGTTTGATCAAAGTAAAATCTCATCAACCAAATCAAATAAAGTAATTAAAGACCCTTCCCCTTCTCTCAATCCTCACCTAAACATGCTAATTGCTAGGTGTAGTTGATATAGCATATAACTTAAATATTAAAGCTTTATAGAAAGAAATTTGATTCTTTATGTGTCAATAATCTCTCTATTATCAAAAATGATATATTTATCTCTTAAAAGTAAAACAAATGCAAAATAGTTAGCCTCATTGACCAACCAACTTTAACAACATCCAATCATGCCTCCACTAGTAATAAATTAATGAAATTATTAAAACATAAAAGGTTGGTTTCATTGTTTATATGAACAATGAAACAATATTTTTTTATTTTAATCCTTTTATAGTCTAATGAGATGAAATTAGGTTCTAAATTATTATAAAAATACAAAATAAAAGGACAAAATTGAAATGTCAAACAAGGAGAAAACACATGGTCAATCTCAAATCTGCTATAATTTTAATTTTTGTATAAAATTTATTTTGTTCATTTTTTAGTTTCTAACTTTAATAGAAGAGAGAAAATTGCTTGAAAATGGTAGGGAGAGAGAAAAAGTCACTCGAGCTACTTTTTAGTAAAGAAACTGGTTGTTTATGGTATCAACGAGTTCCATTTAATGAGCAAAGTTTAATAGTGGTGACTTTTTCTCTAAATTTCTCTGAAAAGGAAATCGAGCTCGATTAAGAGATTCTTTATTTGGTTAATTTTTATTTATTTAATAATTTTAAGGTGTTTTAGGGTTATTAGGTGATGGTTGATTTTTATTTATAGTGTTTTTGAGGTGTTTTTAGATGACGATGGGTTGCAAAAATGGATTTTCAACAAAAAAACCATTTCTCATTTCTCTCGCCACCACAGTGATAGTCGAAATCTAGGTATATAACTCAGTGAACGACATGTTATCTATTCCTTCAAAAAAAAAAGAGACGGACAACAAATCATCTTCTACTTACAAAAGAAAAAAAAAAGTATAGCTCAAGTGCGTTGGGCTATTGAGGCCCGCGTATCTAAAGTGGCATTTTAGATTATTTTTTTTAATTCATCATTTCATTTGTGTTTTTGTTAGGTTTTTTTGTTGGTTTTTGTTTGCAACTTCATTATTTGATATTTAATTAATTTTTATATTTTATTACTATATAATTAATAATAAAAAATATCATTGAACCTAATGGATCCATGACCTAAGTAAATCTAATATATATATATATATATATATATATATGTATATATATATATATATATATATCTCAATATTTTTGAAAAAAACATCTTCGAATATTTTTAAAAGTCAAACCATAATAACTATATTATTTTTAGTGATTTGATTTTTTCTATTTAATTTTTTAGCTTTTGAACTCATTAAATATACTAAATCACATAAAAAAAACCTCACATAATATTATTATTTAAAACCCGAGCCAGGTAAATAATAGAGTAAGAAATTTTGAAGTTTTATTTATTAGACTATGATTATGTTTAATAACCAGGCTACAAAAAAAACTAATTTTTATACTTTTGAAAAAGCTTTGTTCTAACATGTAGAGTAGCATGGGTAAGTATATAGCAATCTAGGATGTACTAAGCATATGTACCTTCCTTTGAACTTTTGGGAATCTAGTAACCATCTAATTTCAAATCATTAATCATGTACCGTAGAATATAAGTGTGAGCGATTCCCAATCCCGATTAAGAAAGTTTAGCTCTTTTCTTTAGTTTTTTTAAATAATTAATCTTAAAATTACTATAGATCAACATGAAAAAACATTTAATTTAAGATAATATATTAAAAAATGATTTAGTGTGAATTAATGTATAAATTTTTCTATATAGCATAAAATACAAGGATGAAACAATGGGTGGGACCTATTGAAAATGGCTAATCAAAAAACCATTCACGTTTGTTTCATTTCAGAAAATGTTAAAAAAAAAAAAATTCCACAGTTAAAACATTAAGGTCTTTGATGGAAAATAGGTTTTTTTAGAAAGTGTTATTTAAAAAAGTAAGTTTTGAGAAAGTAAATTATTTTTTTATATTTGATAGTATAATAGAAAATAAATTAAAAAATATTTTTTAATATTTAGTTTTGTCGTGGAAAATAAATTGAAATTGAAAAATATTTTTCAGTATTTGGTTTTGTCGTTGGAAAATAACTTATTAATATTTTATTTTTTTCAAGTTTATTAAAATAATAAAAAACAAATCTCACTAAGTTTATTAAAATAATAAAGAATAAATCTCACTAATTAAAAAATTAAATAAGAATGAAATTGAAAAAAATATAATTTTATAAATTATCTCAAATAAAATAAATAATAATCAAAATAATAAAGATCAAATTTAAAAAATAAAAGATGAAGAAATTAAAATAATAATAATTAATATTTTATAAATTATTTTAAATAAAATAAGTAATAAAATGAGGATCAAATTTGATAAATAAAAGTTTTTAATAAAAAATAATATGGAATAAGAAAATAACATTTATAAAAATCAAAATTAAAATTAATATAAAAATTAAATTTTAAAAGATAAAATTAAAAAATAAATATTTAAAACAAAATATATATATATATATAGAAATAAAAATTTTAAGAATTAAATTTAATATAATCAGCAAATAATATAATATTTCTAAATTTTTCATAACTTTTAGAAAATATTTTCTATCCAAGTTTTTCAAAAAAATACTTTTCTAAAAATTAATTAAATTTTTTTTAACTAAAATATATTTTTTATTGATAATTTTTTAATAATAAATAAATTAAAAAATAATTTTTCAGAAAATAAATTCTGAAAAACAATCATCGCCTAGGAATCCCAGAAAAACGAGCATGCAGTGGTTTTGAAGAAAAAAGGGAGGGAGTCAAACGAAGGCCCATCCACTAGCAACCAAAAAAGCTGAATTAAGATGGGTACACGCATGTTTATCACGAGGTGGTAGATGAGACCGTCACCACCATGAATTCTCTTATTACAACTCTCTTATTGATTTCTCAGGGAAAACTAGAGAACTCTCTAAAGATACATTCATTATTCATAGACCTTGTGCTCTGCATCACAGGTACTGACTGGCCAGTTTGCCCTCCTTCACAATGTAATTCTGTGGAGGAAACTCCTCTCCCTTGAAGTATCTGTCAAGCATGTCCTTAACTCCGGCGGCGTATCGCAACTGCACATTTTCCATTGACGATTCAAGTTGCATTCAGCAAATGAAGAAATTGAGAGAAGATATTTTAGGGAAAAATGGAGGGAGAGATTTAAGAGTTGCATTCAGCAAATGAAGAAATTGAGTGAAGATATTTTAGGGATAAAAGGAGGGAGAGATTTAGATATATTTTTTATTGATAATTTTTTAATAATAAATAAATTAAAAAATAATTTTTCAGAAAATAAATTCTGAAAAACAATCATCGCCTAGGAATCCCAGAAAAACGAGCATGCAGTGGTTTTGAAGAAAAAAGGGAGGGAGTCAAACGAAGGCCCATCCACTAGCAACCAAAAAAGCTGAATTAAGATGGGTACACGCATGTTTATCACGAGGTGGTAGATGAGACCGTCACCACCATGAATTCTCTTATTACAACTCTCTTATTGATTTCTCAGGGAAAACTAGAGAACTCTCTAAAGATACATTCATTATTCATAGACCTTGTGCTCTGCATCACAGGTACTGACTGGCCAGTTTGCCCTCCTTCACAATGTAATTCTGTGGAGGAAACTCCTCTCCCTTGAAGTATCTGTCAAGCATGTCCTTAACTCCGGCGGCGTATCGCAACTGCGCATTTTCCATTGACGATTCGAGTTGCATTCAGCAAATGAAGAAATTGAGTGAAGATATTTTAGGGATAAAAGGAGGGAGAGATTTAGGAGCCAAAAGTACCTGTCCATCTATAGTGGTTCCAGAAATATGGGGGGTCATTGCATGGTTCGGCATGTAACGCCATGGATGGTCCTTGGGAGCTGGTTGTGGATTCCAAACATCTCCACTGTAACCTGAAAATCAGGTGTCGACGGAATTAGGAACACAGCAAATTGATAGTTCGTGTTATTTTAACTGAGGCCTTGGTATCCTCGTGGCTGCTCCAAGTTTCATATCTACCAGCTAGATAAATTTGGATGGTTGTTTTGTTACCTCCAATCTGTCCACTGGAGCAAGCATCAACAACTGCTTGAGTGTCCATGATTGCTCCTCGGGCATTGTTAACAATAAGAACTCCTTTCTTCATCTTTGCAATTCTTTCTTTGTCAAACATCCCTCTGAAACGAAAAGGGATTGATTTGAATAATATGAAAGAAGCAAGTTAAACAAAATTATATTGTTAGACGGCATATTTATCAACTACACACGCTGTTGCGAAGCTGTCATCCCAGAGCTGGTAGGTTCCAATACAATCAACATTCACTCAAATAAAGCTGTATGTTTCCTTTGGTTGCATTATCGAACTCAACTCGTATATATACTCGATTCAACAACACACAGGAAAAGTGCTTTCCACGCATCATATAAACATAGCAGGTTTGAGAAATCACAAACCCCTTGAATGGCTATGGAAAACTATACAGGAAAACTTCAATTGTTGATGCATCCTACAAACATGGGTACAATCGGATAGCATGCCTGCCAAACCATTGATGGCTTTTCCAGTATGGTCTTCCGCAGCCATTCAAGAGGTTAGAATCCAGTAAACAGAAGGCAATCAATCAGGAGCCAGTTTTGGTAGCAGAAATGAAATTAAGAATCCTTTATATTTATGCCTGCAAGTTGATCTTGCTGTTCTCTTAGGTCATTTTCAGAAGGGGGAAAGAAGAGGTTTTGAGGACGCAAAAGATCCAAAACTTCCATATTTAAATTTCATTGAAAATCATACCTTGTTTTCTCTGTAAGCGGCGTGTTGATGACAACTACGTCACATTTAGAAAGCAATGAATCAAGATCCTCCTCAAACTTTGCCCCCGTCTGTTTCTCCAATTCTGGATCCATCTTAAGTCTGTCATGATACAGTAGGTTGCAATTGAAAGGCTTCAACCTCTGGAGTAAAAGCTTTCCAATGCGTCCAGCACCAACAGTTCCCACTGTCTTTCCTTCAAGATCATAAGCTCTGTAGGCGATAGCTGCCACATTCCACTCCCCATTGATCACTTGATGATATCCAGGTAAGAAATTTCGGACAAGAATAAGGATTCTCATGAGCTCATCTTCTGCAACCGAGACGACATTGCTTCCTGTGACCTCTGCAACAGTTAACCCAGCAGCAGCTGCTGCCTTCAAATCTATATGATCAGAGCCTATTCCAGCAGTGAGAAGCAGTTGCAGATTTTTTGCCCTCTTGATCCTTTCTGCCGTTACATAGGCGGGGTGGAAAGGGGTAGTAATGAGCACATGGAGATCAGGAATATGCTTTTCAAGTTCTGTGACAGTTACACAGCAAGGAGAGAAAAAAATCAGCAAACTGGCCATACTGATATTCTTGGTAATAGAAGGCACACATTCTCTAACAATAGTGTTTGTAAAAACAAACTATTTTAACAAGAAAAAAATTTGAGATTTACAAAGCATCGCAGCTATGGTAACAAGTACAGTTAATAAAAAGCATATATTCCAATCAACATTACCAATAAATCACAGCAGGGTGGACAAAAGACAGAGACATGCACCACTAAATATAAAAACACAGTAAACAAGCAATTAAAGTTGTAATTAAAGCAACTCGACAGTGATTTTCATATATCCCAAAAGAGCACACTTTATATCTTGCTCTGCCATTGGTGATCACATGTTATCTTCTTTTGTTTGGTTCAGTCATAAGCTATCTTGACATCTGTTAATGCCATCACTACGGCTAGGCTATAATATTTAACCTAATTAGTTGAGAATCAGGGAACCATTGGATTGATGACTCCGCCTTCCACCAGCCAAATGCTTACTCTCATTGAAAAGAGGGAAGCGCTTAACACCCTAGATATTCAAGAATGAAGCTTGAACCAAGAAACTAGATGCTTAACAACACCAGCTTTGAAAGCTTACTTCGGTTTATGTTATGTCAGACACGTAAAATGGGCGCACACAACGAAATAGTGTGCAAAACACACACACACACTCACCAGAATCCAGTCCTTCTTTGTCATCAGTGACAATGTACTGGTGGCCTTGTGATTCCAGCCAGTCACGAATGCCCAGAGCTCCTTCCAAGGAACCCACAAAATTAGGATTCAGTGAAGCATACTCATTTGCTTTGTAAAACACCCCAACAATTTTTTTGCTTTCTGCCGATGCCTGTGAACACATGAATGAAACGATGACTTGAATATAAGATACATGGCAAAGACAGAATGGTTTATTCCATTTTTTGTTTGTTTCAATGAAATTACACTGCAAGGAATATTTAATTAGTTTTGATAAGCTACAGGAACTAAGAATTTCACAAATTGATTTTAAGTTTATATTTGGCTTAAATTTAAATCAAAAGAGACATATTCTTCAACTTGTGAAAGCCATTTGTAATTAGAATCAAATATTCTTTACCCCCAAAAAAAAAAACATGTGATATAAAAGAGATGATATCATCCGATCTACAATCATGTTAACAAATTTCATGTGGACTAATGATTCATGACTTTTTTTCCCTTTTTACTTTTTCCCTTTTTCTTTTTGTTACGAAGGTGAGGTTCGAACACTTGAAATCTCTTGGAGAAGACACTAATATTGGTTGAGTTAAAGTTCGTTGGCTTCATGACTTATTGTTGACCTGATAATTAAGTAGTGTAAACTAATATCATTAGCAACTCAACAACTGGGACCAATTTTACAATAAACACATGTTGAACTTTGATCCATCCCTATAAGGAGGTTTAGGATCAATTTTAACCACCTCTTAGGCATTTTTACAATTAGCTGCCTAAGTTTCGAAAGAATTTCAAGGCGACTCAGTTAATTAATTGAGTTACATGGCATGGTAACGCGCCATGCTAAGAGGGGTTTAATTATAAGACTTACGGACTTGAAGACTGAATTGAAACATTTATGAAGTTCAGACACTAGAAACTAGCAAGCAGCAAATTGTAAAAAATAAGTTTAAAAGAAAATGATTCTATTTTTTCCATAATAAGTAAATATTTAACAGCAATACTGTTGATTTTTCCTTGAAAAAAAAACTGAATATAATTTAAGAAATCATAATTAACTCACATTATTTATTTTAATAATTTTTTTATTATATAGGGTCATATTCGTTCGGCATTAATAGAAAATTTACAAGACTAGGCTACGGTGACTAGGATGAGCATCAAAGACGAGCTGGGACAACGAATGAGAAAGAGTGTTAGGTCACGTGTCCTTGCTAACGAGTGGATAAGTGAGGCGCTCGTGTAACGTACAAAGAGGCCACAACTTTACTCTTGCGCGTTAGGTTGGAAGTCGCCCTCTACTTCACAGATGCATCGTAATAATTCAGTAGGAAAAAAAAAGGAAAATATTGATGATCATGATCAAATTTCCTCACAGATGATGGAAAAAGACTCGATCCGACTTGAGACCGTTGAATTGAAGTAAAATTTGTCAAGATTGTTTTAGAAAACAGATAAGGAAATAGAATTGAGTTGCTTACATGGAGAAGCCTAGTTGACGAGCCAGAATTCACGGATGATGATGGTGATGAAGACGAGAAAGCGCGAATTGCAGAGGTAGCAGCACGCTTCATGGCCATTGTTATTTTTGTGGTTATTTGAGCTGAAACCTTGAGAGGTGAGGTGAAGTGAAGTGAAGTAGGATGTGTGTTATATAGAGGGAGAGAGGTCAGGGATGGCGTCGGGAATGACGTGGCAAACTGTTTCTTCTTCTATGCGCAGAATGAGATAATTTCGACTGATTGTTTGATAATAATCCACTTTCAAAAATATTTAAAAATAATTTAAATTTTTATATATTTTTAAATTATTTTATTTTAATAAATTAATATTAAAAATAATTTTTTAAAAATAAAAAATATTATTTTAATATATTTTTTTAAAAAAATATTTTCAAAATCATCAATAACCAAACCCAAACCAGCTACTAAAACTCAATTCCAACACAGCTCCTTTAAATTTATGAATGACGTGGCAAACTTTTTCTTGTGTGGAGTTTTAAAATCGATCGATCTGTCTTGTCTTGGTTAATAAAACTCAATTCCAACACAACTCTTTGATTGGTTTATATTTATAATATATGGCTTTCCCTCGTCCCGCCAGTCTTCGCTGTAGATTTCATGTATTTTTGGACAAATTGCGTGGCAAACTTTCTCTTCTCTATTGAGCTGCAGTTGGAGGAGGTTGATTTTTAAGTTTTTTTTTTTGAAAACATATTAAAATATTTTTTATTATTTTTAATATTAATTTAAAAAAAACACGTGACCAAAAAAAAAAAACAACTCATTTCCGCTAGAGGAGGCTGCTTTTCCTTTAAAGAGTGTTTTCTTGAGCTGAGAGTTTTTGTTTTTTTATGATTTTTACATTTTCATTGTAAAAGCGAATTATTATTATGCTAAATCTTTTACTGTGACGAGTGTTGAATTTGTAATTTTTTTGGATTTAAAAAAAAATAGCATCATAGTAAATTTGATCATTTTTTGCTGTAGTATTGACAAATATATACTTTTTGGGTCTGTAAATTATTGTTTTATATATTTGATATTTCTATTATTTTAAATATGATCTATTTATCATTATTTTTTTGTAATATTGTTTTTTTTTTATTTTTTACACTTAGAATATTTATCACTCTACACTTAAATTATTTATACTATTTTTTTGTTCTTATCTCAATTATTTTGTAATTTGTTTTTAAATTTTTTTACACTTTTTTTAAAAAAATATTATAAAAAAATTAAGAAAATAATATTGCAATGTAGCGATTACAATATTATTTTATTTTTAAAATATTTTAAAAATTAACTTGAAATGTTACATATATAATCTTTATTATATTTTATTACATATAAATATCTATTTTTTTTTGTATTTATATTTTTTACTCGATGTTAAAAAACACGTAAATAATACTTAAATATTAATTCTTTTGTGTTATAAGACAAATTATTTAATATGTGGTTAGTCAAGTCAAATGATACATTAACACTTTTTTATTTTTACATTTATTAGCACAAAAAATTATTGATTTATTTAATTAAATATATACACAAGTCTTTTGATTTATAATTAGGATTTTTTGGTAAAAAATGCATTTAAAAAGCTTATATATTTATTTTTTATCAAAAAAGTTATCCAACTTGATGTCAAAAAATACAATAACAATATATACATATTAATTTTTTTGTATTAAAAAAAACTTATTCTACTTATAACGAGGTGAGTCTAATAGAAACATTAATTTTTATTTTTTTTGTTGACACAAAAGATTTTTTATTTATTTAATTGAATGTATGCATGCATGCATTTTTTATTTATAATTATAATTTTTTTAAAAATAATATTTAAAAGATTGTATTTATTTATATAAAAAAAAAGTATCGGACCCGCTTTGTCTCCCGGGTCAAATAACTTTTGTGTGTGTATGAAAATCGAATTTTAGCAAAGTACTGAAAATGCATACTAGACGGTCTAGCATTTTGAAAAAGAAAAGTCTAAGCTCGACTCAAATTGGCGTTTCTTTCTAATTTAGGAAATCAACTTCTTATTTATTTATTTATCTTGCTTTGAGGAGACATCAAAAAGCATCTTTCAACATAAGCCTCAATTTAGCCCCACCTTATATGTCCTTTCTCAACTTAATCCTAAACCTATAAAATTTAATAACTAGGTTCAATCAAGCTTTTTTTTATTAATACCCTTCAATTTCCTTGTCCAAATTTATTCAAATTGTTGTTGTTTTAGTGCATTTAGATTGAAAGTGTTAATATTAATTAATTTTCTTGTCAATAATTTTTCAAATAATAATCATTTTAGTATATGAAATATATGTATTAGACATAATAAACTATTGAAGGGAATTGACATGAGAACATGGTTGAAGAGGTAAGTATTTTTCAAAGTTGTAAATAAATTAGATTAGCGAGTAAAAATATATATAGTTTATCATATCGAGACTTGTTCAACATGAGAATATTTTTAAGGCAAGTCATGAGTTCATGTAAGTTTAAAAATATAACTTTAAAATACTAACATACATATTAAATATATATCCACACTTATAATTGGTATTAATTAGAAGTTCTAATATGCATGCTAATAATAAAAATATTTATCCTTAAATTAAGACAAAAGAGGATATTTATTGTTGGAGCATTTTAAAGTAATGAATTTTTTATTATTGTTATGATGAATCTGTTAAGGATTCCAACCGGTAATGTTTTGATATTTACTCATTGAAAGCTTAGCATACTGATACAATATTTAACGCAGTTTGGCAAATCATCTATATTCACTAGAAAGATTCATATTATTAGAGATAGAGAAAGAATATAATACAAATACATGGAAGAGGAGGATTATATTCACTCAAACTCAACTATCATTGCTGCATTTGTAGCCCTTCTCTTTTTCTCTCTTCTTCTCTTCTCTCTCTCTCCTCACATTCTTTCGTTATTCTCTCAAATAATATCTCTATTTATAAGCAATTCATGACAAACAAGAGTCCATAAATTATAATATTAACGGGGGACAAAAACCTTGAAACATGTCACAAATGGTAGCACTAAATAAGTTTTCACTAAGTGAAAGTGAGGTTGCCACAAAATGACAATTCCTAATAGAATCGTTTGTCTTTAAAACTTTATTATTCCTCACTTATACATATATAATGTTTGTCATATGCCTTTTAATATTTTAACAATACAATCTCGATTTAAATACACTTCCAAACAAAACTTTTAAATCAAAAATTATATAACTCAAATATCTTTTAATAACTTGAATCTAAACTCTAGATCTGGAAGGAAAATCAAAACATAAAAAAAATACAAAAATACAAAAATATGAGATGAGAAAGAGTGTATAAAAATGTACAAAATATTTTTTTAAGCTTTTCTTTCCCCCTCACTTTTTATAATTGAAAGCTAAAAAGTTAAAGAATTAATTTACACTATTCAACTTTTTAAAAAGTTAAAGAATTAAATATAAATATAGTGGCCATAAATCTAAATATATTTTTATATATATATAAAATGCTTCTAAAAAAACTGGTAGCATTCATGAGCTGGACTAAAGAAACAATAGGTTAGAATAAATAATTCTATTTCTCTTCTCTAAAAATTTTGGTGCTATTTAAACTTGATTTTAATTTTTTAATTGACCATTTTATAAATACTATGAAAATTTTATTTATTTACAATGTGGGATAGAGTTCTTTAGAGAGTTTTGGATTTCATCAAAATATCCCATCTAAGATTTATTTGATATTAATTTTTTATTTACTCATAATTTATTATTTACTCATAATTTATTTAAATTATTTTATTGTTCTATATTAAATTAATAAATTTTATAGGTTTATGATGTATTTAAAAATGAGAAAACAGGATTGAGACCAATCCAAGTTTTCCATAAAAATAAAAAAACAACTAACCAATTTCTTCACTGTCACTTACTAATTTTTTTTATTTTTTATTTAATTTGAACCCATAAAGCGCATCCTAACTTGATGGTAAGAGCCTCCACCAAGGGTGCCTGTTATTGAACCATCGTTTAATGAATTTTGAAATAAATATAAATGTGGCAACTTTTTATATTAATTTTTTGTTTTCGTACTGCGGTTTAATTATTTTGAGGAAAATATTTTTTTATTTTTTAAATTTAAATTATTTTTTTTTATATTTTTAAAATAAAAAATATTTTAAAAAATTCATCTATAAAAAATAATAGTTATAGCGGTCGATGTGTTCTCAGGTGTAAGAAAAGACGAGGTGAAAAAACTGGATTGGTTTTATATCTAGGATTTTTAATGACATTATGACCATGCTACTTTTCGGCAAAATTAAGTTCCATCCGATATTCATGTTTGCTTAATATATTCATAAAATATAGATATTTAAATAAAAATCAGTGATATTGGTTTTTTTATCATCAAAATTACATAAATAAGTATATAAATCTTGAAAATAAAAATTTATATCTACTTCATTACTCTGTAAACACATTTAGTAAGTGTTATTTAAAAGAAATATACAGTCCATTTATTTAAGAGATTACATTTGCGTTTTTAGCCAAACATAAATGTAACCTGTTTGTTTCTTTAAGTATGGAAGACCCGCGTGTACTTATACAAAGACACAAGTTGGTAGAAAATTGTTGAGTGCTACTTTCTGCAAACCTGCAGACAACATTCAATGGAGAGTTTCACTCTCCATTGTTTTCACTTAAGTAGACGGTGGAGAGTGAAATTCTCTACTGAACACCTATACAATGGAGTTACTTCACTGTTTATTAAATAATAATATATGATTTTAGTCTGATGAAATTCAGTTTAGAGTTAAATGTATTTAACTAGGTCTAACTCGATAAAAAAAAATTATTTTTTATTATAATTATATTTTATTGATAACATAGTATTTATAGAATTTAATTGCAAGTTCAATTTTATTCCAGATTATTTTTTACCTGATGTTGTTGTGTACTTAAAAAACCAAAAAAATTGTAGTCTTTATCGGATGTATTTTATACGTGATAGAATTATAAATAATTTAATTGAACAATAAAAAAATATTTATTATAAAGTATTATTTATTTCATGATATAATAGCAATAGTTAAATCTACAATACTTAAATTTAAAATCATTAATATATATATATATATATATATATATATATATATTTTATAACCTAAACTTGAAAAGCAATTTTTTAACCAAACATATAAATTAGTT